GAAGCACTAAGATTGTTAAATTTATTTCAATATCAAATAGCAGAAAAATATATTAGTTCGGAAAGAACAACTAATTAGCATTTACCCATATGCTTAAACTTAAGGCTTTAAATGAGTACAGCCAAAAAACTATTAGACACAACTTGGTTCACACTTCAGCCTGAAAATGAATACAGAAATTATTGAAGCACTATTGATTTTACCTCTCTCTCTCTCTCTCTCTCTCTCTCTCTCTCTCTATATATATATATATATATAATGATGGTTAGCTAGCCTTACAAAAATCATCTTCAAAGATTAAAGGCAATTGAACATGAATACGGCAAATCCCCTTCATTACATAATAATTGGATAGAAAAATATCAAATTCTTACTATTTAATACATGGAATGCTTTGAATCTTTCTTTCTTTTTTGAACCCATCATAATATAAAAATTAGAATTAATAAAAATAATTCAAAGTGACTTCAATGATCAGCACTGATGATTTTGTTTCTCCATAGATTAGAAATCTATGATTATTTGAATTAAGAGGTCCTAATTTCGAGGCAACAAGTATCATTTCACCAAACATTGAGCCCAACAATTTATTAAGTGATTTTTTTAATATTTTGGGAACTGGCAGCACTAAAAATGACCAACAATTTGCTTCGAAAATCAATCTTTAAGGAAGCTTTGATTTTGCAAGGAAACACTACAAGTTTGTAGCATCATTCAGAGAACTAAATCTTTTTTAACGTCTGCAGGAATCTAGTTAAACGTCTAACAGCTGAGTGCAAAAAGAAATATTCCAGCGGTGTTTTAATGCCAAGTGCCATCTACAATTTACAGAATTTATCTATAAAAAAGTACCAAAAAAAAAACTCTCTCAAGTCACATACGCAACTTAAGAGTGCTAAATAGGCAATATAACCAGTTTGAAGATGAGTTTCCAAAGCAAGCAACGAAGTATATGTGCAAATCGTACATACCGTAAGCAAGGGAGGACCTCCATTCTGCTGCGAAAATACCACACTTCGACAAATTATTAAGAACTTCAGCCTTATGCCACCAACCTTGCTTCTTCAGTATCTGGAACAACTATATCCAGTCTCATCATAGGCCTATAAGCATCAGGTATCTCTGCACCAGCCTGCACACAAACCTCTACCACAGCTGGAGCCTTCCCATAGAACCTCTTGAGAGCACCAGTTGGCGGTGCCCCCTTGGGATCCTTCATATGCCATACAAAGTTTGGTGGCATCACCTCATCAATGGTTGCATCCTGCCACCCATGCTTCCCATCCCTCCACTGGTGTTTAAAGGCCCCACAAAGCTTTGCATTATGACCCCATGGTCCAACATGGACCTCCGAGCAATACCCGCATGCCTTTACGGTATACTTCCTCATCAGCTGCCTTACACCACTCCTCACTGTGCTGTAAGCCTTCAAAGTCCTTTCTGCAGCCTTTCTGGTGTCAGCGGGTGGTGAGATTAATTGACTATTAAGGACTGCATACGTATCAATCTCAGAAAGCAGGGTCATTATGTCTTGAGATCTGCATGGCTTCGGCTCCTCCACAAATCCACCCCGGTCAATCATCTTCTTGCCAAGCATTCTGACTGGAGCGGAACGTCTTCTGGAAGGGTATTGAGGCAACTCAACACCGGCTTGAATGCAGAGCTCCACAACTGCAGGTATTCGCTCATAATTGAAGCGAGTTTCGTGTTTGATGCGATGCCCAAATGGATCGAATAAGTGATAGGATTCGATAGGGATGAGGACATCATTGATGGTTCCGTGAATCCAAACATGCTGACTTCTTCGTTTAACATTTTGAGGACCGCTGCAATCTTGTATTGAATGGCCGGTGGAGCCAACATGGACTTCTGGGCATTCTCTGTTGTGCATCAAGAAAAGTTACTTAGTGCCAACTGGAACAACCTGTTTGGGATCTTGGGCACGGGCATGGAAAGCACGCAGACATAATGACTAGACTAAGCAACACCCAAGTTCTCGAAAAAGAAGGAAAGGTTGCTTGCCAATTTTGAAAATAGAGCCTTCATAGCATCAATTAGCAATCAAAAATAGCAGGCTATCATATTAAAAAAAAATGCAAATCGTTCATTTCAAGATAAAAAAAAACTCTATGACATAGCATTAATGTATGCCCAATAAGAAACAGAATTTCTTACCACGTTGTGCTTGATATTGACCAAGACTTGTTCAAAATGAAAGCATACAAGTGATTACTAGAGGACTAATGCACGGATACAAACACAATGATAACATATATACTAGACAACAATTGAAACCATGATGCATGATAGTGATACATTTATAGTTCTCATGTCTTCCTGACTCGTAAATCACAAGAAAGAAAAAAAAAACTTCTTAATATAGTTTTTAATGGATTAAGAAAAAAACAACTAATAGCAGCACAAAAATATTAAACAAAAATACTAATTAGCATTGACATGTCAGAATTGACCCTTGCCAACCACAAAAAATGATATTAAAATTTCTAATTAGAAAACACTAAGGAAATGTTAAATTTGAGTCATTCCAGGCTATTCCTCATAAGCCCCTCAAAATCAGACATTCGTGGAATTTTATTTTATTTTTTATCATACAAGTAGTGTCAATAAATGTAATGTCATTGCATCCTATTATAATTTAAGGTGCCTCTGAGTCCTAGTGTCCCTCACCGGCTGTTAACGATCTGATTTCGAGCAAAGTCAGGGTTGGCTCAAAATCAGCTTGAAAAAAATTCGATCCAAAATTTTGGCTCATAGCTCGACTCATTTATTTCGACGCAATCTCGATTTGAGCCAAAAATCGAATCGATTTTTAGGCAATTAAACATCTTTGAGCTAAATTTGCTAAATTCACAGTCATACGCTATTAATGATCCAATATCGAGCCGAGCCGGGGTTGACTCAAAAGAAATTCGATCCAAAATTTTGGCATGTAGTTCGACTCATTTATTTCAATACGATCTAAATATGAGCCCAATCTTCGAGCGATTAACGATCTTCGAGCTAAATTCACAGCCCTACCCTCACCCCAACCCAAAATTTAAAAAAAAAAATAACACTCGGACTAAGAAAAAAAAAATCTTTATGAAATGCGTCCCAATAAAAATGAGTAATATAATGAACAATAGAAGTAACAATGCTGCATCATGTAAGTCTTTAATTTAAGATGATCAGAAATGTCTCTACTTGCATATGGGAAACATTTCCTTTTGTATCTTTCCTTGGTATATCTGAATGATTAGCAAAAAATATAAGTGAGTCTGAAAACAAATGATAAATCAAGATCTAATCATTAAGAGAGACAAATTTTTCAATTTAACTTTGTTGCAGCTTGACAATGCATCCGAAAGCTTGACATTGTAATTAGATGAAAGGAAAATTAAAAAATGCACGAGAATAAAAAAAAGTAAACAAGAAAATCAAGATAGAAAACAAGCATATACCATTTTTAGCTCACCTACATACATAGACTGGAACCACAGTCAAAAGTTGAGCAAGTCCTTGAATCAAAACTTTCCATGATTCCAGAGTTTGATAAGCTACTGGAACAAGGTCAGGAACCAGTAATCCATTCTTTGGGGGCTCGAGATGCTTCTCAACTCCCATCTGTGCTAATTTTTTATCAATCCTTGCCGCTCGTAGCACCTTGTGAATTGGATTAGGAAATGGTTTCTTTTTCTTTTTTGGCAGAATTGGCGGAAGATCCACATTTTGAGGATGTCTATTATATTTATTGTCTTCAGAAGTATAACTAGGCTCTTGAGAAGCAAACCCAAAAACCTGATATTTTGTTTGTCTGGAACACTGTAGATGCAAATATCTAAACTGATATCAAAACTATGAATGAAATGTAGATACCAGAACATGGATAAAATATCTTATTCTTTTCAAAGCTAGCTATATAATATCATCAACCATCAAACAGATGGATTAAATATTCAATTTCTTCAATTAGCAATTTAGATTTTGGTAATATTGAATTTGGGTATAGAAGTTCTATTTCCAACCATGTTATTTTTATTAGGATGAACATTCTACCAACTACATTTTTAATTTAATTCATGTAACTTCGAGAGCCTTTCACAATAAAGGTCTTTTAGGGCTTGGTTGAGAACTAAATTGAAGAATTAATAGAGTTTGATATCCCATTATCTCTCTAACTGTAAGCCATTGCTCTCTCTCTCTCGCTGTGTGCCTCACAATTAAGTGTCATCAGAGCTTAGGTTCAATGAGCATCTAAGCCTTCATCTCATTGTGTCCATCATGCATCCTTCGGTTTCATGATCGAAGTCGCCACCTTGCCATAAACATCGCTCACTTCTAGGCTAGGGTGTAATACCAACCAGCCTCCTCCACATTCAACCTCTATTCCAACCGATCACATATAATGCTCTCATGTGATCAGCTTCATCTCTAATGTGCTCCGTACATAAACATTGCACATGCCTCTTATTGCTTCCCCTGCATCTGCTTGTCTATGACGTAAACATTGCCAAAATAAAAACATGCCTTTATTGATACAGCAGCTATGTGTCGTGCCACCCAGATTTTTAATTTATAGTCATCTGCTTAATATTCTTTTCTTATTAGTGAAGCTCAGGCCATTCTCACTAAAAAGGTAAAGAAGCTCACTGTGGAGTCTAAGCAATTCGTTTGGCAATTCGTTTGTGAGGTCAATGTTCCCCAATTTCAAGGACAGTGAGTTCATCCCTCTGGCAACCACACCGGGAGAGCTGGCAACCACACCGGGAGAGCTGGCCACCACACCAGTTATGGATGATTCCACAGTGGCACTTCAAAATCGGAGGCGTCCCCAACGTTTCGAAGCACCTGAGCTTCAAGACATCTTGGATCTGACAAAGATCGCAACCCTAGTTGGCGGGCTTATTTATCCGATTCAGAATTTGTAGAAGAACCAGCAATATCAGAACATCACAATCAAAGGCGTATGCGTCCTGACAGTCACATTCAAAGGTTATTCGTCCAGGCAGGAGCTATAGTAAATTCAAGGTGAAAATTGACATTCCCTTCATTTATGGTCATCTACACATTGAAAATTATCTTGATTGGGAGCAATTTTTGGAGACCTTTTTCGATTACAGTGACATACCACCAGAGAAAAAGTTCAAAATGTCGCATGTAAGTTGAAGGGAGGAGCAGGCGCATGGTGGCAGCAACTGATGCAGTCTTGGTTATAGTTTCATGCTCGTCAAATTGCATTAATTGGTGTTCATCTTTGTGCTAGTCTTGCACATTTAATTTATGAAACTTAAACTTTCATACATGCTTGATTGATGGTAGTGAAAATTACATCATATATTTGATTTAAGATTGAAGATTTCTTTGCTTTTTTTGTTCAATTATCCAATGTGACAATGTATCATATGCTATTTGCATTATTCATAGCTTTATTATACACTTAGATTTGCACATGCATGATTGTTGTCTTACCGCTAATGGGATTTTTAACTCATGTTGCATCATTTGTAGCTCACAAAACTTACGTAATACATGTCTTCTTTCGAGCAATCACGGCATGCATCAACTAATGAACTGCGACCAGTTGAGATTGAAAATGTTGATGAAAGCAGCAATCAAACATCTCAAATTGCATCTCAACAAATCATTGACACTAACAGCGCTTACCCTGAATTACAATTTAAGAAGGGTAGGAAGAGAAATTTTGTTGTATGGGATTATTTTGTGGAAATAAAATCTATTTCTAAGGGTATTGAGACTCCTTCCCTACAATGTATCCTTTGTGGCATTATGTTTTCCAAGTCAAAAACATACACAACATCACAGCTTCTTATGCATGTTCGGGAGTGTAATAAAATCAAATTCAGTCAACAATAAATTGATTTATTAGATAAAAGACAAAAATGTTGAATTTCTCACTTGTTAAAGTTAATATTGATGCTGACATTTATATTTTATATGATTCTTAAAAATATGACCAATAACAAATTAGAGAAATAATTGCATTAATGATTATTATTCATGAATATCCTTTTAAGATGGTGGAGCGCACTTGGTTCAACATTTTGTTAAAATTTATGAGCTCTAATTATGAAATTGTATCTAGAAAGGCTATAAAAAATAGTTGCACGTGAATTTATGATGTCGAGAAGGAGAAGCGAAAGACAAATTGATTATGTATCTAAAAATGCCCGAAGCAATCCTCCATTTCAACCAACCAACTTGAATTCTACT